CCATCGGACCACACTAAAAAAAAAAAAAAAAAAAAAAAAAAGGCGTCTGGGCTCTGTTGATGGTGGTGTGAAAGCATGAACCTACAGTTTGCATAACAGGTACTCTGCAAAGTTTGCTTATGATGTGATTTTAGGTAGGTGATAGTCCGCTCCGATTGTTGTTGCATCTGTGGGTTTCTCTGTTGTTGTTGTCATCCCTCGCCTGTCTTCCTGCTTGCTTTGATGTGTTGCTGTCCCTCCCGCACCGTGTTGTTCCGTGCCCACCCTCACACCCGCCGGCCTTCCTGGAAGTCTTCCAGCCGGCCTTCCTGCAAGCCATCCTGCGCCTGCCTTCCTGCCACCTGCCTCGGTGCATAGTGGTGTGCCCGCTCTCGCGCCCTCCTGCCCACCCACTTGCGTGCTTGATACTACCTACCTTCCGAACACAAATATGGTGTACGCACTGTACGGTCATTATCGCTGTACCTAGACTGAAAGTGTCCCCAAAATTTGGTGTACGCACTTGGTGCCCAAATACAAAAGGTACACACTTGAGGCCCAAATGGTGCCTCCGGAACACAAATATGGTGTACGCACTTGGGTCCCTAATACAGCAGGTACAAGGACCGTTCACTCTATTCAGAGAAAGGCAGTAGATCATACCTTGCGGACTGTCTTGATGTGTCGCTGTGCCCTCGCTCAACTATGATGTATGGTCATTATCACCGTATCAGTCTGCATGTAGACTGAAAGTCGCCCCAAATATAGGTACAAGGAAGGACCGTACACTCTATTCAGGTAAAGAGTCTAAAGACGGTAGAGCATACCTTTTGGACTCTCTCGTCTACCTGTCTGTCTGTGTGGCTGTGTGCTTGCTGAACTAGCTGCCTGCTTGTTCGCCGCGCCTGGCCTTGCTGTGAGATGCCTTTTCCGCGCCGCGCTGAATGGTTTGCTGTGTCCGCCCGGTTGTAACAGGGTTTGAACTTGGACATAGCTTTATGAATCTAAGCATTGTGACGGGATTCTGCAGACTGGCGAGGGTTCAGCCTCCTGACGAGTACTACAGTGCAAGTCCCGTCACTACTCCTGTGTTCTTTCTGTGCTGTTTCCCGACGACGTTGTGAAACTATCTCCTACCCTTCACCTCCACCACTGTGTTCTGAAGCTAAGTTCTACGATCCACTATGTCCAACCGAAGCCATTTGATTCTCTTTTCCTTCAGGTCCCTGGTCATGATGTGTCAATGGAGTTTCGGAGATGATAAGCGTTATATGTGCTGTACCATGCACTGCTCTCTCTCTCTCTCTCTCTCTCTCTCTCTCTCTCTCTCTCTCTCTCTCTCT